TTTGCTCTCTTTACAAATCAAGCTATCTTGCCTCTTTTTAGCCCATCTCCTTCAAGGTTCTTGATTATACATAAAGTACATTTGCCCTATGCTATGCTATGCTATGCTATGCTATGCTATGCTATGCTATGCTATGCTATGCTATCCTATCCTATCCTATCCTATCCTATCCTATCCTATCCTATCCTATCTTTGCTGTATTCTATCCTTTCATGCATAGAGCGACAGACTATTGAATATTATTGCAGTATTTTTAATGTATTGTTCACTAACTTCAAATATTCCAATCATATTACAATACTCACCGGTCCCTAAGAAGGGCAAGCTATTGCATGCCTGAAAGACTCACTGAGTTCAATAAGACTTATTATACAGGCAGTGTATAATATAGAATAACAGCCTCCATCAACATTGTTTCCAAGGTTAACAGACCAGCATGATTTACTGAAGTACTGCACTTCACATTAACTCTGTATGTTTACAAATCTAAAAAGAACATTATGACATATTCAGGACACCAAATTCCACAATTATGCCAAACTAACACCCACTTCTGTATTTATCATACTAAAAGAATTCTAATCAATGCACAAAAGGAGTACAAGTCTATTATAAAAGTACAAAATGTCACAATGTGCACATAAAAAGTACATGCAGTACATAAAGTTGCAAGATGACACAATCCAATAGCTGAATTTCCATACAGATATTTTTTCATATGATAAAATATTGGTCATTGTTTTTGTACTAAAGAAAGAATTGTCCCATTGAAATATGATTTTTTTCCATCTCAGGTAAATATGGCAATTACTCGTGTTTTTTTCTAAAAGTACAAAAGAATAGCAATTTTGAGAGCACATCATCAAACTTTTCTCTTGAATATGACAAAGATGCCTAAAACTGAGATCCAATTAGACTATGACAAAAATATTCTTAAACTATTCTTATGATATTCTACTATTCTTCTATTCTTAGATTAATAGTAATTTAAATTTATAAAATAATTCTAATTAACTTAAATTAAAATGGTATATATTTGCAACTTTTTCCTTTACACTGTATGTTTAAGTTTTTTTTAAGTTTGTAACACTGTATGTGTTATTTGAATCCAAGAAAAATGTGGAACTAATTGGAAAAATAGTATGAAAGTCTATCATGCTCCTGCAATTGTCTTATTGGGAGTTGAATCTATTAACGTTTGTACCAGTAGGCCTATGTAGCACCCTAAGGTAAAGGTTTCCCTCGCACATATGTGCTAGGCGTTCCCGACTCTAGGGGGCAGTGCTTATCTCCGTTTCAAAGCCAAAGAGCCAGTGTGGTTTGAAGACGTCTCTGTGGCCATGTGGACAGAATGATTAAACGCCGAAGGTGCATCAAACGTTGTTATCTTCCCTCCAAAGGTGGTACCACCCTGTTTTTCTACTTGCATTTTTACGTGCTTTTGAACTGCTAGGTTGGCAGAAGCTGGGACAAGTAATGGGAGCTCACTCCATTATGTGGCACTAGGGATTCGAACCACCGAACTGCCGACCTTTCTCTTCGACAAGCTCAGCAACTTAGCCACTGAGCCACCACGTCCCTCAGTAGCACTCTGAAATAGGAAATATTTGAACTTTTACAATGTTTAAAAATATAAAGATGAGTTAGCTAAAATGGTAATCAGATTGTAGAAATTTTATTTAAGAAGCAAGTCTTCCAGAGCTATGAGCTCTGCATTCACTCAAATGAAGAGACTTTTTAGGGTCTATCTACTTACAAACCACATGCAGGAAAAGTGCTGCCAAATCAGAACCCAAGTTATTTTCTGCATAAGCTGTCACATGGAAGATTCCAGTGCTCTTATAAACATGTCGGATACCATCTTCTATAGGGCTGAAATTAGCATAGGATACAGCAGTACCATCTCCAAAATCCAATTGGATATTTGTCCTCTGGAGGTCACCCTGCAAGAAGGAAAACTGTTGTTTATTAATCTGACTGATAAAGTCCATTTATACTACAGAGGAGTGAGTAATGATTGCACCATATAGTTTGGGTTTACTTTATATTTTCCCTATACTTAAATATATTAATGAACTGTGCTGGCGCAGTGGTTAGAATGCAGTACTGCAGGCTACTTCCTCTGACTGCCGTCTGTCTACAATTTGGCAGTTCAAATTTCACCAGGCTGACACCAGGTTGACTCAGCCTTCCATCCTTCCAAGTAAAATGATCACATAGATTATTGGGGGCAATATGTTGACTCTGTAAACTGTTTAGAGAGGGCTGTAAAGCACTGTGAAGCAGTATATAAGTCTAAATGCTATTGCTATGCTAATGGCTAGATATGTATGAAAAAAATTCTCAGGTAGTATAGTGTATTGTATAATTCCAAGTTATAGGTAAGTTATGAATCTTTAAAAATTCTATTTCTTAGGCACTAATTAGTAATGCTGTAATAGTAGTAAGATTACTACTAGTACTAGTATGCCTGGATGCCTGGAGATTCTCAGGCATCCAGATCATGGTTGTCCCAAAGGTGCTTTTTTTTCAAGAGGCAACTAGACTTTCTGGTTTTTCTTTATGCTTTGCTTCTCATCCAAGAAGCATCCAAGTCCACATTTTGGAGAGAAATGAACACTGGTTTGAAAGAAGAGTTAAAGAAGCCATCTATGTCAAAATTAAACACATCTCTCTAAACTGTTGGGGAGCGATATGACATCATATATTTCCAGTCTACAACACAGTCCTTTCAACAGTTCCAAGAAGGCTCCACATCCATTGGACTGCTCAGGGGACCCTGATGATGCAGGTAACTCTCCAGCTGGCTTCAACAACTCACTAAAATTGCAAATGACCAGCTGTCTGGAAGGAGTATAAATCCTTCCATTCCCCACCATTCAATCTGAACTGAAGAAGCTTTTTGGATGAAAAATGAAATGTCTTTAAAGAAAAACCAGAAAGTCCAGTTGCCTCTCGAAAAAGCATCTTTGGGACTAATAGCACTAATAACAATACAACTAGCACGAGAGAAGGAAATTCCAACTGAGCTGTTGGATTCCAATTGTTACAATAAATTTTATTTTCTTTCCAGGAGATCCTTCTATGAGGGATTTATTAGTATAAGTTATATACCGGTTATACTAAATAAGTTATACATTCTGCAACTCCAGACCCTTGCAGAATAAAATTTTGCTTCATTTTCTCATCAATTTCTAGAGTAGAAGTGCAAAGACAAATATACTATTCCCTTTCTATAGCAGAATACACAAGTTATGAAAATTGGTAGAAGGATTTTCTTCATAAATTTTTCAATTAACCTGCTACCCTAATATTTGACACTACAAGTGCTTCCTTCTTAAAATAATCAATGTTTTTTTCAAATATGTGAGTTACCAAAACAACAACAAAAACTCCAGCCAGAAATATGGATGTAGGCCATAATGAGAAAATAGTGGCTTGGTTGTCAGTGAAACAAAAATAAAAATGTGAGGCTAGAGATGACCATCAGGACTTGAAAGCAAAGATTGGTTTCAACATCCCAGTTTCATAATTTTACATCTCAAGGTATATAAAACAAAGTTGAGAGAAAGAACTGCTAGTTCAAATTTGTTTTTATTTAATCAAGTTTAGGTGACTATGTTGACTACATATTTGAATTGCAAAATATCAACATGACTTCAATATAAAGGAAAAGAGTTAAATTTTGCCATACCTCTGCTGGCATCAGGTCTTGGTTTTTCTATCAAAGTGTAATCTCTGGCAAGCAGAGGAAAGGCCTTTAGTTTGTCAGTAATCTAGAGACTGGTTTTAAATGATTGGATTTATTAGGTCTAAATATATAACAGGGATGAAAAACTAAGAGAAAGTAACAGGACAATTTATTCTCTAATGGAAGAGATTTGTTGGAGCACACTGCTTGTCAAATGTTCTAACGGTGACAGAACTGATTAGTCTAGGGTTCTGCCTTTCTTTAATAAGGATAATCCTCTACTTGCAGCTGCTATTTGAAGCCCAGTTTAGGCCTGGTTTTACAATACAATACAATACAATAGCAGAGTTGGAAGGGACTTTGGAGGTCTTCTAGTCCAACCCCCTGCCTAGGCAGGAAACCCTATACCATTCCATACAAATGGCTATCCAAC